TTTCTCATGCTGAGTGTGACTCCACAGGTGCAGGTGTGTAAAATATGTTGATTTGATTTATGTAATGCAGTTCATCCACCAGTAAGGGGTAGTGTTTATCTTCACTAAATCTCTCAAACGACAGCCATAAAGAAATCATTACAGTTTGATTCGACTTTATTAACTGCTTAATCAGCAACAATCAACATGGATCCTAATGACATTCGTGATTGTAAACATATAACATTGTTTTTAAGATTTAAATTCCCTCATGGTGCAATGTCAGTAGCATCATAACAGAAGATATACATGCCAATTTAACGGTTTTATGTATAATATTTAACTATAAAACATGTGCTTAAACCTTAATGTTTTATTTCCAGGATAGCACGGAACAATTTGCCTTCAGGAAAAAACATAACTGTGCAGCCACCTGCAGATCAAAGCTTATTAAAATCTATAGAGGTTTTGTTTTGGCTGCAGTGATTCCAATAACATTTTAAAACATGTGTTTTTTAGTGTTGTTCTCATAGTTTACCAAATCTTAAATAAACAAACTCCCTTGCGGTGCTGTGGCTGAAACCATCCTTTGTGTTCAGGGATGCAGGTTTTATTCAGTCAGCTGATACGTGCTAACCAACTGCTGCTGACAGTACGGTGAAAACATATTGATCCCTGGGGGGGAATTAGATTGATTGACGCTGTGAATGTATTAAGATTCAGCAAGGCAAAGAGGGAAAGCAACCACACGAACAGACATAAGATGAGCCATAAATCCCAGTATAAAAAAGCAGTCAATTGGCCTGATCCAAAAAGGTGAGATTATGTAAACATGCATTATCAGACTCAAAAGAGAGTATAGACTTGTTTCTGTGCCCAGATGACTTGTAAAATGTTAATTTTAACATCTGCTAATTACAGTAAATATGTGTGATCTGGAACCAAAATCACTCACAAAATTAAAATGAGTGATGAAAAAAAAAACGCTCCACAGACAGTAACTGAATACATTGAGTGACAATCTATTCACATTTGCCAGCTCAATGATCAACTGCCAAAGCACAATGAAATATTTGGGAAGTAATCAAATGAGCAATACAGTATAAGCTGCAGTGCGTTGATTGGTCTGGACTGCAGCTTGATTACTCACTCATTATCTTGAACGATTTGACGGAGTATAATTGAAAAAGTACAGCAATAAGAGAGTTTTTACCAAGTTCAATTTTGTGGAAGGTAATACAGAACATTAATGTTCTCTGGTTTTGTTAGACCTTTGTTTGCTCTGTAATTTTTATATCAGGGTTTTGTTTTCAATAATGACCTTATTTGGCTGCTCAAAAATGTCTCGGAGCCACCAGAGATCTGCAATTTCAATGAACCTGTGATTTGAGTCCACACTACGCCTTCTACAAAAGGTTGTATCCCAGGTAAATTGATCAGGTACAATAATATAGAGATTTATTGAAATTGCTATGCTGGTATTAAGCCTATAAATATGTATTTAGTGTTCAGTAAATATGTCTGTACTGGAAAAGGGTAACCTCTTCCTGAGGTGTCTTAATTTTGTTCCTTTTTTGTTTAGTTTTTTCCTTACATAAGAGACTAACAATATGGACTGACCATACAGCTTCCCAAACCTTGATGCTTTAGGTAAAAGTATTTTTGTACCTGTTGTGCTCATCACTGTACACCATCTCTGCAGAAATTGTGACGCTACACAAACCAAATTAGCCTTGGGGCACACAGAGTGAAAAACCTAGTGACAGTCAAACATTCATTAACACACAAACCTGGCAGTAGATGGAGCTTGAACCCAGGAGACTCCCTCCGCCCCTAGTTTTTCCTGCGTTGTGATTGTGCAATCACCTGAGGAGAACCTGTCCTGCACCACTGCCAAATGCCAAGTGACATCTGGACCCTCTGCATCCTCTCCCCTGGGTTAGCCTGAAACAGCCTTTGTCTTTGACAAGAGCTTGTGCTAAATAGGAATTTAGCATCAATAGCCTATAGGCTCCAAATGATCAAAAGTCGTTTGGAGGTTCAACGCTTCATTAATGCAAATAATTCCTTTATCTGAACCACAATGTGCCTGCCTCAGGGGTGCCATATTCTCCCCCTTTATGTGTGCACTGCTGAGCTGTCAATCTCAATAACGCATACATGACACTTCAACGTTTTTATTATGTCTGAAGCCAAAATAAATAACTTTAATCACATCCTCTTTGTGACAGGATGAAACAATAGACATTCATGTTATTCCATTAAGTGAGAGAAACCTTTCAGAGTAAAAACAGTGCATTTGAGAAAAATATACAACATATATATATATTTATATATATATATATACTCTTTTGTACATGCAGTTGTGGTTGAAAACATTTTCGACGTTTGAGGTTGACATTTGTATGTACACAATAGATAACATAAACCAAATGTACATGTCAATCTTCTACAACCTCATATATAAAAAAGTCATTTTGTGTAAGTTGTAGGAAAAAAAATCACACTGAGTAAATGTCCTCATGAGGACCAACAAGTTACAACATCCACGGTCACTATAACAAAAAATACAAGCGAAAGCTTTACCCACGACTCAGGACTGCTACAGATGGAAACAGGAGCAAATAATGAACAGCGTATGTGGTTTATTTTTCACCAAATGTACTGTATTCACCGGGTGTATATGATTTTGGAGCTGGGTACGCCTTTACGGTCTATGATTGACAGCGTGTACTCTTCATTGTTAATCACCTGGAGAGGCACTTCTCCCTGCGCAAAAGAGCGCGTCTCGCAGCCCCTTTTGGTGGTTGGAGTGGGGACTCTCCAAAACAGCCCGCCGAGCATCTTCCTGATCTCTGGCCTCATCAGACAGTAAAGCACTGGGTTCAAGCAGCTGTTTGCGTGCGCAAAGCACACGGTGACAGGGAACACATACGTGTGCACCATGTAATATGACTTGTCCCAGTCGACTGCGTTAAATTTGACCAAGACACCCCAGAAAGTCATTGCGTGGTTTGGCATCCAGCAAAAAAAGAAAGACAAAACCACTATAGCAACAGCTTTGGTGACCCTAGAGCTGCGTTTCGGGTTGCTGCTGTCCATGCTCCTCCGTTTTACAAAGCGCAGGAGCATTAGATAGTTAACAGAGACTATAAGCATGGGGATTATGAAGGCTATCAGTATTTTCTGGATATGATAGAGGGCAAGCCAGTCGTACCCCTCAGGAAACTTCAGCAGGCAGAGTTTTTCTCCAGCCACCACGGTGACGGTGGAGAAGATAGTTGTCGGAGCGGTGGCCAAAGTGGCTGCCACCCAAAGCACTGCGCACACCCACTTAACGCACCGTGACCTCCTGTACGATTTTTTCTTCAGGGCAGAGGCAACAGACAGGTAGCGGGTCACACTCATGGCAGTGAGGAAAAACACGCTGGCGTACATGTTCATCACGGTGACCGAGAGGATAATTTTGCACATGGCATCTCCAAACGGCCAGCTGAAGTCCAGCGCGGTGTCCACAGCCCAGAAGGGCAGAGTGAGCACGAACTGGAAGTCAGTCACTGCCAAGTTGATGATAAAAAAATTGATAGTTGACTTCTTTCGACCCTGTCTTACCCTCATGAGGAAAAATACGAGTAGATTTCCCACCAAACCAACCGCACAAACTACAGAGTACACCACGGAGATGAGTATCCTTAAAATGGGAGTGCCGTCCGCGCTCACATCGATGTCTTCAAAACTGAATTTGTCTCCACCAGGTGAACTTCTGTTCAGCGCACCGCTGTTGTTAAATGTGTCATCCATCGTTAAAGTTGGAAACGTTGGCTTTAGCCACTTTCTGCTGCTCGCACAGGCTTCACGAATAGAACTACCATGCGAAAGTGTCTCAACACTTTATCCCCATCCAATGAATGTGTGAGTGCTTTTATACAGGTGTGTTGCTCCTCTATCGAGCCACGATTGGTTGCATAAGACGTGACAGAGAAAGAGACGGTCAGTCATACCAGAGCAAAGTATCATGTATGCAGCAGCAACACAAGAGGAATGCTGCCGATGGTCTCCCTGAATATAACCTACATTAAGGTGTGACTAACTGCATGTCAGCTCATTAGGCCTGTGAAGTATTTAATTTTAATGTGTCGGATGAAGAAATTGCATATTTTTTCATCCAAACAATTCAGCAAAAAAAGACTTTAATTGAATCAGCTGTGTTGAAATATATTCTGTTTGTCATGTTGAATAGGATGATTTTTTTTCTATAGTTTTTTAAAAATATATATGGTTTCTACCTTGGCCAGGTCTCTCATATAAAATAGATATGTGTTGTTTATTTTAATTGGACTCCCTGGAAAAAAATAGGGTAAGAAAAAAAGCTACAAGCCAAGATAAGTGTATGTTATGTTGCTCCATTCAAATAATTTCATTTTATAATAAACGTATTAACATTTTATAATACATGTATTAAAATACTTCGCCTTGAGTATAGTTTCATGTGCCTTGCAGAAGCATTGTCCCTCATCGACTGGCCCTCAAGTGCCTCCATACCTCCACTAGAGGGGGCGCTAAGCCTAAACAACCGAAGTTTAATAACAAAGTAAAGGAGGAGTTTAGTGACCATGATGAGTATGTTTTCAGTACAGGCTTTATTCCACCTAAGTTAAGACATCTTGGTTACACAACTGCAACGTTTATTAAGATTGGGAATCTCGTAAACTGCTTTCGCCTGTTTCCTCCACCACTGAAGCTCCTGATCTGTCATAATTTCTCTGACTCCAAGTCAACGCAACAATATCGAGCCTGGTCCTCATGTGACCCACTGAAAACCCAAAAGACCTCAGATTCGAGAGCAACTGCCAATTACATTAAAGTACTACTTCCGATTTCTTGGGGTAGCATTCCCCTTTAAGCCCCCAGCCCAACAGAAAGATATCCCATTGTCTTAAGTCCACCCATCTGTGGGGGTGGCTCTGCGAAAGTTTGCAGACAACAGTTTGAAGCTGTCACTGGGCTGGCTATTGGTGGGAGACTGATGGAGGACGGAGGGGACAGCTACTCGGATGCAAACATTAACACAGACACACAGACAAGACAAGACAAGACAGAGTGAGAATGCAACAGAAACAGCCCGTGTTTAGGCCTTAAGTACACAAGTTGGTTGGGACTGTGACAGTTTAAGTGCACGCTCGCAACAAAGCGAAAAGTTCCTCCAGCCCACATGGAAATCATTTGAATTGACAATCGACGCGGTGTCAGAAAGGCGTTAAATGTTACCAAAATACAAACTACCGTCTTGACAAAATGACCCGTTTGGACTGCGGGCTTCACGCTTTTGGACAAAGAGGCTCCCCCATTCACCTCTTCATCGCACTTCTGACGGCCCTGGAAATCTGCATCACCTTGGAATTACCACATGAAGAAGGTTAGTGAACCTGAAAACAAAAATATTGCCACGTCCTCTGATATAGTGGCTGCTTTGTTTGCTCACATTTGTTTCAGAGCGGATCTAATTCATCATTAGAGTCAGGCCAGCAGTCCTCAGTGTGGAGGGGAGGCCAGCTGTGGCTTGTGTTTACAAAATGTTGGTCTGACCAAAGCAATAAAACCCAAGGTTTTGCAGCTATGTCTGCTAGCTGGAGAGACCTTCTTTCCATGAATCATCAGAGGTTTAAGCCCCAGGTGGGAGAGCATTGGTCCTGGCCCTGCCCTGGAGCCAAAACACAGACTCCCAGCTCAGCTGACACTGACCTCTGACCCCCCAAGTGAAGGTCAGGAAACAGCATTTCTCTTTGGGTATCTACAGGATGTATCGTCATTCTGCAAAATATGTCTAGTTGTGGGAGCCAGTAGATATTATCACATCAGAGCATTCACTCTCTCCCTCCTTGAAGAAAAACACCCCCGCCTCCACTCCTTGCACTTTCATCCTCTGACTCTCTCCGGATACCTAGTTTGTGGTTTGGATGTTAGAAGTCACCGCTCTCCTGAGATAACAGGCACAACAAGCACAAAGAGGCTGTCTCATCCTGTACACATCAAATGCAGCCCTTGAGAGTAAAAACAAGTACCGCCAGGCTTTATAGACAAGGATGTGTCACTAAGGGGAGGCACCTCCTGAACATTAACGATTTCAGGTAATAAATGTTGGCACATGGATCACTAAGTTTATTTTTGGACTACTAAGAACCCAAAGGTGACAGCTCATCTTGATTCAGAATTAATAGGAACCTGATCAGTGTGGCTCATTACGGGCACACTTAAAATCCAATTTTGGTCCCAGACCCCACATTAAAAACCACCTCCTCCAAGCTTAGATATTCATGCTTTTAAGGAGTCTTATTTTTGGAAATGTGATTTTTCTGATCACATTATAATTGAATTTCACTTTCCTTTCCTTTCCTTTTTGACCTGTACTGAAGGGCACAAATGCTTAATGAAAAGTCATATCTTATGGGTGTTTTGTTATTTAAGATGCTTCAATGCATTTTTACAGATGCAGAAAGTCCTTAAGGTCTTATGAAATACTTTGAATGCAAGAATCCTCACACCTGGAACTTGACTGCATACCAACATCGAGGCGGCATAAACATCTTTGCTTAGTAAATATTTAGAACATTTTAATCTCCTTCTGGGTCTAGACCTCCATCAAAAAATGCATACTGAGCTATGCTGTTTGAGTCAGTCACTCTACTATACTGGTGAACCAGCTAAAGAATGCCATATCAAGATGGACATAGGTCGAAATACTGATGATGATGATGATGATGATGATGATGATGATGATGACTGCACTCACAAGGCTATATTTTATTTATATATTAATTATAGTACACTAAATAAAACGTAATTTAGCTGATGCTTCTATCCAAAGCAACTTACAAAGCACCTCTACACAGCATGCGATGCCAAAAAGAGATATTTTGGGTTGAGTATCCTGCCCAAGGACTGCAGGGGATATATTATCTGCATATATGCCAAACACAGTGTGTCAGGGAATTGTGAAGGTCCAAGGGTGTCATTTGTACCGTGAGCTGTACAGAATACATGAGACCTATTCTGAAACAGCTATATTTATGACAGTTATTATTGCGAGTTTTTTTGCGTATGTGTATTGGCCACTTTTGTTGTTATGTTTTTGCGTGTGCATATAGGGATTGCTTGTATTCCCTCAAAAATAATATTATTTTTTCAGGGTAGTTTTATGAAAAGAATATTTATCTAAATATGATTTAAATACAGGGAATTACTTTATTATTAATTGCAGCAGTTGGCAAAGTCTGTTTCAAATTAGCTGTTGGCCTCTCCTCATCATGTGCAGCTCTCTTTGTTCTCAATGTGATGCAAAAAGTTTGTTGTGTTGGCAGCAGTTGCTGCTATTTTATGTCCAAACAACTTCTCTACTTTCTAAGTCTAACAAACTCCTCAGCAAAGGAATGCTAGCAATGTTACTTTTTTGCATTCGGCCATGCTTTTTATGCTGTAAATTGTAATGCATTTTGTATTTCTTCTTTACAAAAAGGGTCTAATCGCGTTGCTTCGGCTCAGACATTGGTTACTACACATGGTCCACACATTTTATTTACCCTTGCTCACAAAAGAGGCCTTATAAATGCAGCCTTTGATGATGCTGATTCAACTACTTCAAATCTTAGACAATCAATGAGATTCTCTAAATACATTTCACCAACTTTATGAAACCATGTAGATATTAGAGTAGAAAGTAACATATGCTAGTAGACTGTGTTCAGGGTTCAGGCACTGTATACATTGCAGCTGTATTCAAACATGAAAATGACAGATGAGACACCCATATGCGTTTGTTTAGAGCTTCCCCAGTTTTGTTTACAGCTTTACAGCCACTTTAATTATTTAATTACCCTTGTCTTTCACATGATTCATTCTCCAATCTGCTCTTACATCTTCTCTTCCCACCATGGCTTTGACAGAGAGATTGCAGCAGGATCTGCCGCAGTATGAAGTGGTTCACCCTACTCGAGTGGATGCCAGAGGTCACTTCCTGTCCAACTTCCTGTCTCACCATGCTAGCCGTGTACAGCGCCGGGATGCCTCAGAGGGACCAGCAGGCGTAGATCAAGTCTACTACCAGTTGTGGCACGGAGGCCACAGGTTGCACTTTAACCTCACACTCAACCCAAACCTGCTGGCCCCGGGCTTCCTGACCGAAAGGAGGTACGGTGGCCTGGAGGGGGCCAAGATTCATCCTCCTGGATTCTCCCAGTGCCACTTCTTAGGTAACGTCTGGGATGAGGCTGTTGGTAAAGGAAGCGCTGCCATAAGTACCTGTGATGGACTGGTGAGTAACTTTAAAAGCTTTGAGTCTATTTGAAGTTGCATTTCAAGTTAAACATAGAGCTGTCAGCTAAAGGCTCTATTAAAGCTGAGAAAAAGGATAGTTTGGAACCCTTATTGTGTGATTGTATGAAGTACTTATCCATACTGGCGGTCCCCAGTTTGGAAAAACACAACTAACAACATACAAGATTAATGTAGTCCTGTGCAGACGGGCAGCAGCAAAACATATTCAAGCCATCTAAAAAAATACAATATCGATGTAAGTGTCTGCTGTAAATAGAATATTTCCACAGCTTTTTCTTGATGTTAGATAATTGTTTCCAGCGGGGAATATAAGCAATTGTACCTACCTATCTACTATCTTCTATGCCACAAGACTCCATTAACAGAAACTTTAGTTTTATGTTGCAGAACACGGATATCGCTGCCTTGATCAGTGAGTCTGGATTCACCAAAGTCACACAGTAGCTGCCATCAGCGTAGGGTATACACTGAATCTGGACAAGTTCTGCATACAACCCCACTTCATACAATCCAAACCTATCACTTTTACTGTGTATTATACACCTATTTTCTCTCTTCAACATCATGTTCCCAAGCAGTAGAGCATATACTGTATTCATTTATTTGACACAGTCTATCATATGTAGGCATGCATTCAAACCAGCTTTAGTTCTGGCAGGAAATGTTTATTCATTATCCATTATTTTATAGAAGCACTTTCACCATATCATTTTTGAAGTTGAAAAACATACAGTGCATTTGCAATATCTCAGCAGTAATCTAACGATAGGCCGCAATCTGCTAACTCATATTTAAAGACGTGCAGCAAGCTTTTCATGTAGTGCTGCCTCTGCGAATGCAGATGTGTCATAAAAGGAAATATTTCTTACACTGCCAGTAGATAACTTGATTTTTAATTCATCACAGACCATTTATTAATCAAAGAGTTATCACATGCTGCAGTACAAACGCTCCATATCAAGTTTGGTCTATAAAGATATTTCCATGTAGCAATCGCACTCACCATCTCACAGTGACTGATTCATAAATACATCAGTGTAACTTTTGGTTCACAACCATTCTTTATGTAGTGTGTACTGTAGTTCTTATATTTTGTTATAATTACACAGAGATTTCATATTTTCAAACTGCATATTACACACATAAGAATTATTGAGACAGCTTCATCACTTTATTGTGATGCTTAAATGGAAAAACCTCCTTTCTGGAAAATTTGACACTCAATTTAAAGCATGTCATCTGACGCCCCTATCCCCATTTCTACGATATCATTAGTCCAATATAGAAGAAAATGCCAAAATCTTATGACGTGACCACTTAACAACATGGCACATTGATTTATTTTTGTGAATTTAGAAAATAACATTTTGCTTCAAGTGCACCAAATTCCCATTAGAACAACCCCCTATAGTTCTCTGTTTATACTCTGTGTGCTAGACCATTTTCAGCTGTAAAGCCATCCCTGGTGGGAATTTATTGAATTCTAGACTCGTTCTCTCCACTTTAAAGTAAACAAACACAGCCTTTAGCAAGTAGGAAAATAAAGGTGCTTTTTTAATTATAATTCCTTGATGGTGAATTCTGTTTTGACATTTATCTAAACCTTCCTCAAGAACGGTAGACAAGCCTCTGATGTTATTAACTCAAAGGGTGCTTTATAGTGCACCTGTGCAAGTTCTATTTGTGGAATTGGAAATATAAATAGAGTTAGGTATGGATTTAAAGATATACAGGAAACTAAACTTTGAGTTTTTGGTTTGCGCCTTCTGTAGAGCCTTATCAACCTTCTGCAGATGGTTATCCTTGAATCAATCATGCAAATGTGACTGCATATTTAGGAAGCTTTATTGGGTTGGCATCTATAATGTCATAGACTCTTGAAGTTTAAAGGTCCCATGTCATGGCCATTTCTACTGATCATAATTCCATTGTTGAGGTCTACTAGAATAGATTTACATTGTTCAATTTTCCAAACTCACATTGGTTTCTCATACAGCATCTCTGTATAGTATGTGTATTCACTCTCTGTCCTACACGGCTTGTTGGAGCTCCTGCCCCCCCNCGGCGCACCTACAGTGTAAGCACGCCACGGTTTTGCCGCTGCGAGGCTCCACTAGCACGCCCCCTCCCATCGCTTCACAGTTTTGTCGGTGTGTGTGTGTGTGTGTGTGTGTGTGTGTGTGTGTGTGTGTGTGTGTGTGTGTGTGTGTGTGTGTGTGTGTGTGTGTGTGTGTGTGTGTGTGGCTCCACGGATTGGACCAATGGGTCCATTTGGGTATGGTCACGTCACTGTACCCTGGAAGAAAAAGAGAATACACCAACGAGGCGTTCTGGGGCAGCATAGACAGGTCTTTTCTGTGTTAGACTTTTATTCGCTACAGGGTGTACTTTGAGGGTTTGTGACCTTGCAGACTGTTTACATCAAAACCTTCATAACACACAGGGGGACGGGTAATAACCGGAAAAGCATGACATGGGACCTTTAATATATTCCCATTTGATGAGCATTCATGCTGCTCTTTCTGTGTTTTCTTTCAAGTTTTAGGGCAGGGGGGATTGTTTTCTCACTCTTAGTCCATTCATTTTATGGTGATTAGTTGCTAACTGCACTGTCACATATCACGTCTCAGCTGCCAGTAGCAGAGCAGACCTCCTGCTGCTCTGTCCTCTCTGCTTCCAGGCTCTATGTGTTCAAAGATACTCCTCTGCTCAACACTGTTGGGACAGACTTTTGTTCTTCCTCCTGGCTTACATGTGGCTGGCCTTGGTTTGTTAACTTTTCACAAAGCATTTCCACCAACACAAATAGCAGTGACAGGTTTTTTCTTACTACATCCTGCTATTACTATCTTTAATTGCCATCGGCCCAACACTCGCCTAAGGAAAGCTGCTTTTTAGAAGCTGGAATCGTTGCAACTTGTACCAGATTGCACATCTGCCAGCTCTGATGTTACAATGAAAAGAAACAAACAAGCTTGACCATGTCTGCATGCTGTCTGCACACTATAGGCTACAGCTGGATGATTTGCGAGAGTTGCTGGCTGTTTTTGCAAAAACAATTTTGTTTCCTGCATTTTTCATATACATCTTTGCTTGCTTGCAGTCTTCTCCCCTGTGTTTGACGCATTGCTGTAATTCATGGCACATTGCATACTGTAGATCGCTGAAGCGTAATGCATTCACTTGAGATTTGCTTTTGCCATGTTTCTCTGAATAAACAAGATCATTTCTGAACTCCTAGAAAAAAAGAGCAGTTTTCTTTTTTAATGAATACTCTCCTCTGAATTCGTAGATGATCATTTTATAAATTTGACGAAACAGGAAAATTATTTAGTTTCAACTGAATTATTTAGTTTCAACTGAATTATTCAGTGACGTAATGTGAAATCACTTGAAGGACTGTACAGACAGTACCAGCGCTTTAGAGGTCCTAACCGCCACAGGGAACCTTTTAATGAAGTGGTCTGTGAGTGTACACACAAGAGGAAAATTAGTAAAATGCACACAGCTAAAATTTCACCTGGTTTCTAGGGTAAATCAAATGTTCTAAATATACCTGATAATGAATTAAAAACCTTTACAGACATTAATTTCCTGAATTTTACAACCCACTCACATCTGCAGACACATATTATCTACATTGGTGATGCTCTGCCAGGCCAGTGCAGCAGCCAGCTTCTTGTTTTGGGCTTTTTTCCTTCAGTCTGGTCTGCAGATAACACATGATCAGCTGGATTAATTTCCGTTATAGCCAGTTATGACCATATAAGACTTGATTTTCTTAATATTAGGGAATATTGTCCTGAAGATTTTCTTTCTTGAGATTAATTGTGATGACAAATGAGGAGAGACAGACCTGCACTTTATTTAATCTATTTTGAGGTTTCTTTGTGCACGGTTTTTTGTTTTGCTGTTTTTCTGCACAATTTTTGTATGAAGCGGAAGAAATGCACTTGGTTGTTGAAGAGCTGACAGTTGTGTGATCAGAAAATCTGCTAAAGTAGGTTGTGTGTGTATGTAAGTTTATGTGTGAATGTGTACATGAGTGTGTATAAGTGTGTGTTTGTGTTAAGATTCTGAAGCAGGATTGCTTTATGTGTAAATATGGCTTTAGACCTGCTTAGGTTAAGTGCTCCAACTAATATTCAAACTTTATTCACACATACACAGTGGCATAAACATCACAGCCATCAAATAACTTTAACTGTTGGAAGTCTAATACATACTGTACCTATTTGCTTTAATAACTAGTAATTAGAGAGTCTGACATATCTGTGTTCAACTAAACAAGCGTAATAAGTGATAATACACACCCCTGTCGGTATTGAGTATTTGGTGTACACTCTGTGGAGCAGCCCCTCTCATCACAACCTTCTGACCCATTACTGGGGAAGTTAGGAATCCCAGGATCTAAAAACGGTTATCATAGGAAACATGTGGCTGCACAGTAAAACATGCAAATGAGTACAATCGGTAATGAATCATTACATCCCAAGCGTCCTAAACATTTAAAAACTCTTATTGGTCAAAATATGCACAGACAGTATGTATGTAATTAGTGTACAAAAGCAGCTGACATCTTATCCTGTAGTGCCAAACAAATATCAGCGTGGAAACCAAGCCTGTGTATTTTTACATCCAAAAGATTGTATAGCCATATCCACAATACAAGAGTACAATCTTATTCTGTTGATGCAAAATACATTTAACATGATTATACTTCTCTTTTTTATTTTAATTTTTTTTTAATAAAACAAAATCAGGCTAAAGCTTTTGTTGTGGTGTTGTGTTTCTGAACCAAAAGCAAATGCTCTGTGTTGAAGCTGCAAGAAAATACACTGGATTTGATTTATTCCTCCCTAAAATATGTTTACTCCCTATCATAATGTATTCCTTGATTTACTTTTTAATATTTACTTGCACTATATTTTTCTGTTATTCTGTATTATTGTGTTGCACTTGGAGAAGCCTGTGACCTAAGATGTTCATCGACATAACTACTCTGTAGCTATGTTCGTATGACAAATAAAGAACCTTAACCTTGAACTTGATACAGTGACATCCTACGGTCCTGCAAGGTTTGGCTCAGGCTTAATAAAACACAATAAGCAACAAATGAGTCCCTGGTGGAATAAATGGTGTAGAGCTTGTGTTGTTGACGGTGGTGCAGGGACAGACTCACAGCACACAAACAAACTGAGTCCGAGGATGACAGTTGTTTACAGAGCAGAGGGCACATAACTGAAAGCAGTCTTAACAACTCAGCCCTGGACTGTATTTCAGCAATAGATGTTCCCCCGTGTGGAGTGATTACTTTATAACAGCAGTGAATGTCTTGTTTGCATTTCCCCTGTGTATTTGTGCTAAAAGCAAGAGTCATCTTGAGTAAAAACCTTATGTCGCATATTGCATATTGTGAAATATGCAACATAAGAAATATCACTTTGCTTGAATTGAATGTAAGAGGAACATTAATTTGCTTTTATTTGATTTAATTTGACCTCAGTTTCACTGCGTCCAGACCCTGCTAATGATGTTCAGAGTCATACTAAGAGACAGAAATGTCCACACAGCTGGGTTAGCTTTGTTACTGTATGTGTATGTGGCTCTACTTTCCCCATGTGGTGTCACACGTTAATCATAGCAGCAAGTCTGACCTTCACTGTGACCCTTTGACAGCCGAGGAGAGTTAATGGGAACAGAAGGTTGACAGGTATTAAATATAGTATTGAGTATGTAAGTGACTTTGGATAAAAGCTTCTAACATGTAATGTAATGTAATGTGTAATCCACCAATCTTTGCACCTCTTCAGTAAGGCAGTGTTTTACCATTTGCCCACTAGTTGCGTGTCTATTGTTAAAAAAAAGGTCAAATTACAGTAAATGGTCAATCGGTAAATGGTTTTGCTTGAAAGGCTGCTGAAATACTAATCTATTGTTGGGCGCATAGCTCATTTTAACCAGATGAAGTGAACTGACCTGCATCTTTTTTTTTTTTCAGACAGGATTGTTCAGGTTGTCTGATGAAGAGTATTTTATTCAGCCTCTGGAGAAGTCGAGCGATGACACGTCAGCAACTCAGGCCCATGCAGTCTACAAACGCCATGCGTCCCCCCCCTCCTGGAGTCCAGTGGTACAGCCCATCTCAGGGAAACAAGCTCTCAACGGTACCTGTGGAATCAAAGGTGAGTTCATTCTTGTATCACTGCACACGCTAAGCAATCTAATGCAAAGTAACACCATCTTCAAACCTAACAATACCTCAAAGTGTGTTTCTTGAAACTGACATATACCATCTAGTCAATCAATCAATCAATCAATCAATCAATGTTTATTTATATAGCCCAATATCACAAATGTTACATTTGTCTCAGTGGACTTCACAGTTTGTACAGAATATCAGTATGACAATACGACACCCTCTGTCCTTAGACCCTCACATCGTACAAGGAAAAACTTCCAGAGAAAACCCCACAGTTTAAAGGGAAAAATGGGAGAAACCTCAGGGAGAGCAACAGAGGAGGGATCCCTCTCCCAGGACGGACAGACGTGCAATAGATGCCGTGTGTAAATTGAAAAGATAATACATTTGCAACATAGGTAGTCCAAATGTTTGGAAATGCATGTGTGTATAATAGGAAGATGAATCCACGAGGATATCCATCCAGGACTTATGATCCAGGACCACAGCCACGACTCAAGATCCAGGACTCGCGATCCATGACACAGGACCGCAGGATCATCCATGACTCTGGATCCCGGCGTATATAGACACCAAAAAGAAAGAAATTTGGGGAAGCTGGGTTAATCGGAACATGAGAGTACACAGATATAAACAGAGAGAAGGAAGAAGTAAGATGTCCCCCGACAAACTAAGCCTATATCAGCAAAACTAGGGGCTGAATCTAATCAGCCCTAACTATAAGCTTTATCAAAAAGGAAGGTCTTAAGCGCACTCTTAAAAACGGATAGTGTGTCTGCCGTCCGAACACAAACTGGAAGCTGATTCCACAAAAGTGGAGCTTGATAAGAAAAGGCTCTGGCTCCCATTGTACTTTTAGAGACTCTAGGAACAACCAACAACCCTGCATTCTTGGAACGCAATGCCCTAGTAGGACAATAGGGTATAATGAGTTCTTTAAGGTAAGATGGCGCCTGCCCATTAAGGGCTTTGTAGGCGAGAAGAAGAATTTTAAATTCTATCCTGTGTTCTATAGGCAGCCAGTGTAAGGCAGCCAGAACAGGAGTAATGTGGTCCCTTTTCCTAACTCTGGTTAGTACACGAGCTGCAGCATTTTGAATCAGCTGAAGCGACTTGACTGACTTCTTGGTACACCCTGATAATAAGGAGTTACAATAATCCAGCCTTGAAGTAACAAATGCATGGACTAGTTTCTCTGCATCGTTTTGAGGCAAAATAGAGTGATCAAATCCACTTGCATAACGACTGTCTTCTTAGGCGCTGCTGAAGTCACGAAGTGCCTGGGCTTCTGGAGCAGCGGTTCGTAGGACTTGGCTGCACTTGTTGACGAGGAGCCATGACTGGGTGTCTGGAAGTGGCCGTCGTGATACATTCTAGGTCAAAAGAGTTGAGACTGCTCCGTGAACTTTGCACGTACTGACATTCAACATCCACACAGAGCTGTGGACTGATCGTCGACAAGCATAGCACATGTAGAACAATCATATCTGAGACATGGGTAGTGAGTGTACTTGCCATCCAAAATCAGTTAAAACATTTGTATCACCGAATCGAGCGAAATACCTCAGTAATTCACCACAAATTTATATTTTCATTGAGGCCTCGTCGGCAGATCAGATTCCACGACGCGTAGCGGGATCCTGAAGGGTGTTATTCCAAGCATGAAGGCGTGTTATTTTCATAAGGAACAAGTCGCTGTAAATTATCCCGCTTATTACATGGCACATTCTCACAAAGTAAAACATGACTCCAATATATATTGAATGCTTTTTGGACGTTTTGAAATGTTTTTATTGATTTAAAAATAGTTGTATGTATTGATTAAATTGACATGCGTCCCTAAGAAAAATAGCCGTTGTTACCGTTTTTTTCAAAAAGTCTGATAAACGGCAGCTCTCAGCTGTGTATTTACCATTAGAGTCTATGGTAAATACCAGTCTATGGGCATAGACTGGTATTTACCAAGGCGGCAAACTCTGGGCCCTTCCGGGAATCGAATCGGGAAGTGCCTCAAACTGCAGTTTATCTAGTGGCCAGTAGGAGCAGTCTGCAGAAAGGGAGCAATTTCCATAGACCCCAATGTTTAAAATGCCCAACTTTAACAGCAGA